ACATAAATGTTAACTATTATCATTACTACTGATAAATTAGTTGGAATGGAGAGTAGTAGAATATGCCATCCCAAAACATGACACTTTGGAATATTGATTATTCTGAACTAAAGAAAAATTAAGAAGCAGATACAATTTCTATACTCCCTCTATTTGCCTAGAAGCAAGATATACCTTGGTAAAAAGTGTCCCCCTTTACCTCTCTACCAGGAAGGACACACGCTTGTCACTGAAGACAACTTTAGACCCTTGTCTAAAAGTTTTACTAACTAGTTTTCATCTTCCATGAATTCTCCCACATGACCTTCTGAAATATTACTCTAGAGACTTAAGGTCCCTTTCCTCTGTTGCCACTTACCTAAAAATTTATTGTTCTTTTGTTAAGATGCTATATAAACTCAAGTTCTAACCACACTACTTTGAGTTACTTATCACTGGGTACTCCCATGGGCATATGCCATGCAAATATTAAGAAATGTTTGCTTTTCTCTTGTTAATCTGTTTATTGTCAATCTAATTTGCAGAGCCTCAGCCAATGAACTTAAGATGAGAAGAAGGTAAATAATTTTTTTCCTCCCCTACAAAAGTCCAGGGTCATATTATAAATGTTTTGAAAGCTAACAGAACTTACAGATCATGTGAAAGACTATTGGGGGCACTGTAGTGTTTTTTTGTTTGTTTGTTTTTTAGTTGAGGTCTCACTCTGTCACCCAACCTCTGTCAACGGCAGGGTTCCAGCTCACTGCAGCCTTGACCTCTTGGGCTTAGGAGAGCCTTCTACTTCAGCCTGCTAGGTAGTTGGGACTGCAGGTATGCACTACCATGCCCAGCTAATTTTTTTTTTTTTGGTAGAGACAAGGTCTCTATGAGCAATCCTCATGCCGCAGTTTTCCAAAGTGGGAATTATAGGCGTGAGCCACTGTTCCAAGTCTTGTAGGTTTTTTTTTTTTTGTTTTGTTTTTTTTAAATCAAGTGAACATGACACTTGTTAAAATGTTACCTAATATTGACTTTTAACATAAAATATGCCCAGCAGTAATTAAAATTTTATTCAGATTTTTTTGTTTTACTGAATGTATATCTATATTTAAAAGGACAATGATAAAGCATACCAACAAAGATGCTAAAATCCAAATCAAAGTCTTTTATTGTTTGATGTTATTTGACTCTTTGGAACCAAAGTGGGAAAATTATCCAAAGAGAAAAGCCAAAGCAGCCACTAAAAGCAGCTATGGACGAAAGGGAAAATGATGAGGGGAATTTAGGTAACAGGAAGGTGAGATTGTGAGATAGGCAAAATGGACTCAGGAAAGCAATTAGGTATAACAAAGATATATTTTAACATTTAGCAGATGATAGGTATTTTAGAAATTCATAAATAGAATTTGGATGTTTTGAAAATTGCAAGGAGTCAAATACAAGTGAGAGATTGGACTTATTTAAACAGTTGTATAGGCCCCAAACACCATTAAAAATAAAAAGGAAACAGAATTGCATGTAAAAATCAATTTACAAATCTAATGCTGGGGCACAGAGGCTCACACCTGTAATTCCAACATTTGGGCAGGCTGAGACAAAAGGACTACCTGAATTCAGATGTTGGAGAGCAGTGCGTGCAACATGGCAAGATCTTGTCTCTACAATAAATCAAAAAATTAGCCAGGCGTGGTGGTGTGCCCGTAGTTCTAGCTAATTGAAAGGTCAAGGCAGAAGGATTACCTGAGCCCAGCAGATCAAGGCCTCAGTAGCCGTGCCATTGCACTCCATTGGACTCCAGCCTGGGCGAAAAGTGAGATTCTGACTTAAAAAAAAAATCACCTGAGCTTGGTATCCTCTGTATATTTGCCAATAAAAGACTTAAAATATTATCTTTCCTTTATCTACCAAGAACACTGGCTTTATTCTAGGGTCGTACCCTTTTTGCTCCAGATCAGAGTTAATATCTTGAGTTTTAAGTGGGCGGAACGGCCCGCCTCCCAAGCCTACTCCCATCCCATCCCACTCCAAATCACTACTACCTTTTGGGTGAAGTGTTAAACCCAGCAAGGGAGGAAGATAAATTGTCTTCAGAGAAACAGAAATCATTCCTTCTGGAAGGGTTAGGTCATATCTCAGAGATGAACCTGAAAACTGCACCCCTCAATTTCAAAACTTCCAGTCTAGGCTATCTCCACAAATAGCATTTCTACCTAGTCACTGGCTCCTTCCGTCAGAAACCTGGCATTCATCTGTAACCTCTTAACTTCACTCCTGTTCATTAAGTCCTGTCTATTCTGTCAGATTTGAGTGTATCTCAAATCCTGTCAGATTTGAGTGTATCTCAAATCTGTCTACTTTGTTCCATCTCTACTGCCACTACCACACCCCCTGGACTAACCTCTATGCAGAAGTTCCTTCTGGGCAGGGCATGATCTCCATAACCTGTTCCTAGCTCCCTCTTCATCCTTACTGGCACTATTTCCCCTTGATCCAAACTTGCAGCCACACTGCTTTGTTTTGTTTTCTGCAACTTGCTAAGCTTTCCCCGACCTCAAGAGACTTTGTCTGGAAAGTTCTAAGTTCTTCATGACTTAGTTTGGCTAATGTCTACTCTTCCTCCAGGTCTCAGTTTAAATGTTACTTCTTCAGGGAAGCCATCCCTGAATACATAATCTAAAGTAGACTGCCTCACAGCACTGTTTTCTTTTATCATATTTAACACATTTGTAATTATATATTCACTAGAGATTTACTTAATATTTCTTTCTATACTATCTAGTATAAGGTCCAAAAAAGGCAGGTATAATGCCCGACTTAGGGTATCCTTCATTTATTCACGTTTATATTCAACAATTTTATAACAAAGGGCTTCTTTATGTGGCAGTATAGTAGATGCTTGGCATATAGATTAGAAAAATGAGCTCCCCAGGAGTTTGAGAGCACAGACAGACGAGGTTCCTGCTCTTATGAAAGAAACATACAACCAATTAATAAGCAAGCAACCAGACAAGATGATTACAGTTTGTGATATGTGCTGTAAGGTAGACTGTGAGCTCCTCAGGGGCAAATATTTCTGTCTGTATTGTTCCATTAATGAATCCCAATATGTTTTTGAGGATAAAGTTGAATGCTAAATAACTGAAGAGTTGACTTTGTTTACATCAAATCCAAAACAGGAATTCCTGATGCCTGGATGGTCCTTCTCTGAGTATTCAGGGACCCAATCTTCTAACTTGTGGTTCTGCCATCTTCAGCATGTGGCCATAGAAGGGAAAAGGGCATGGATGTGTTGGTTTTTAAAAACTGGTTAATCCAAATGGCTACATCTAACTTCAAGGGAGGCGGGAGAATGTAATACACTCCTGTAATAAGGTGTACTAAGAGTAAGTGGATTTGGTGATCAGCTAGTACCTTCACTGGTACCTGGCACAAGACTCTCATTACGAAGAAACAAAGATAAATTAGAAGTGAAGCTTTTGTTCTAAAAATCTTTATAACCTATTAGAATGTACTTTATACATTACGTCTGACCTAAGAATGAATCTCTAATTTCCAGGAATCTAGAGATAGCCTTTAAAATGAAATTAGTGAATTTATAGATGTATTTCTCAAGACAAAGTTTTAAAAATTAATCTATTTGTCTACTTTAATTCAGGATCACCTTCAGGTTTTACATTTCCATTTCCTATGGGTTTTAGCCTGTCTCAACTCTTGTCACTTCACAGTATCTCCATCCTGAGGTTTGGATGGTTGCATTAGGACAAGTCCACAGTCAAGGCAATCTAAAGGAACACAACAGTGAGAGACACATCCTAACAAATAAGAACCCTGTGTGGATGGAGCCACACAGTAGCTGAGAAATCGGAGACCTGACCCTAGATCACCACGTAAATTATCTGCATATATATTTACGGTATTCTTTATAATTTTCTGGTCAGAAGAAAACTGCAGAAATGTAAACATGTAGAAACTGGAATCCTGCTTTCGTACAAAAGCAGACACAATGGTCACGTAATAACCTGTTTGTAAAGCTTTTCCATTCTGAAACGAGTTTACATGTCCTGGACTGGATCTTAGTAATAAAAGCACTGAAACCTCATTCGGAAGCAATCACCTCAACCTCTGAGTCAATTCAGAAGAGTCCCGAAATCTAGAGTTGATCGATTTATCCTACAGAAAGACTTTAAAAAAAAAAAAAAAAAAAAA